AGTAAGGGCGAAATCTAGCACGCCAGAGACTGAGTAAATTAAAGGGTCAAGTTTAAGTATCCTAGCTAGCTCTCGAAAATGTGTGTCGGGATAAGGAAATAAAATTGCGTCTTCGCTACTAGCTATAGCTCTGGGCGAGTGATATCAGAGCTACCAAAAACAGTTAAGACTAGCTAGAGCGGTCAAAAGTATACTTTTGACCAAGTGATAAGCATTTTATTACTCGCATGCATATATGCTTATGTTACTCACTTGGACGTATAGAGTCTCGGGGGAGGCTGTGGCGGCTTTGAGCAGATAATCTGAGCTCCAACGAATGGCGGCTTTGGCATTCTCAAGTTGATTATGCATGGAGCCGTCACGTCCAAACTCAATCACACTCCAGGCTAAGAGAGTGGTTGTGAAGGCCATTGGCAGCCCAAATTTAATGTTGTCTCCTGCATCATAGTATCCTCCTACCAGGTCAACCTGAACAAACAAATTATATATATTACAGAAAGTTATTAAATAATTTGGAATATAATGGAAATACATATATACTACATTGTCAGCGGAGCCATCGGACAAAGCAGAGTCACCACGCCAGTTAAGACGTTGATCTGCAGGCAATTTGCCAGACCTCTGCCCCTCGAAGAAGAGAATGGAGTTCTCAAGGGCATCAGAGTAATCTTGGGAAGTGAAGGCAGAACAAGTTACGGTGAGGAGGAAGAAGAAGAAGAGGGTATTAGTGCATAAAACATGCATTTTGGAACACTTTACTGTAATTTACGTGAGTACGTCTTTATTATGGGATGCTACTGTGAGCTTATTAGACATGCATGAAGGCATTATATAGATGGCAGGCGGGGCGGTTGAGAAGTTGATTGAGATGCAAATGCATAAAGTCAACTATAATAATCAAACGGTTAGAATGATATATAGTAAGGTCGCTTCTAGATATTTAAGTTATTCCAATTTCGACTGGCATATCGTATTGAATGGGAAATAACTTACTATAACCAAATCGTGACATAGAGGTTAGCATAGAGTCACGGTCGCCTCGCTCGTCGCTACGATTTAAGTTTTTTTTTTTTTTTTTTTCCTGTCAGTCAACTAATATCAATAATTGTTATGCCATGGACCCGTGTCCACCTTGCAAGGTGGACTCGAGTCTAAAACAGCGTTATTTTACTTCAAAATGACGTCATCTGATTTTTAAAAAATAAAAATAAAAAAATTGCTTCTTTCCTTGCTGTTTAACTTGTCGTTTGTCTTCAGAATTCGTTCCTCTATATTCATAATTTTTGAATTGAATATTCGCAATTTTAGATCTCAATATACAAAATTACATAACTCAATATTCACAATTGCAGAACTCTATATTCACAATTACAGAACTCTATATGCACAATTTCATAACTCTATATGCACAATTACAGAACTCTATATTCACAATTACAGAACTCTATATTCAACAATATATTTTGAATATATATTCATAATTTTTTAACTCTATATTCACAATTTTTGAACTCTATATTCAATATATATATATATATATATATATATATATATATATATATATATATATATATATATATATATATATCATTAGTTGAGTTGAGGAAACGGTGTCACTAACGACACCATTATTCCATACACGCATTTTGAACATGGGTCCACCTTGCAAGGTAGACCCAGGTCCACATCATATCATAATTTGCCTAATATCAAACTAAAAGGCCGGGGTTTATTGGATCATTAATTTTGTATACTTTTAAAGATATTTAAAATATGGATTTTAATCAATCGTTATGTTGTGCATCTGTATGCACCATGCATGGTGCATACGGATGCCAAAACGACGTCGTTTTATTAAAAAACGCGCGTCTCCCCTTTAAAAAAAATTCAGGTTCGATTCCCAGCAACAACATTATATTGTTCATTCATTATAGAATTTTAGTTCATAGATTATGGAAATATAGTTCATTGATTATGGAATTATAGTTCATCAATTATGGAATTGTAGTTCATCGATTCTGAAATTTTAGTTTATAGATTATGGAATTTTAGTTCATTCATTCTGGAATTTTTAGTTCATAGATTAGATTATGGAATTATAGTTCATCGATTATGGAATTATAGTTCACCGATTATGGAATTTTAGTTCATATGTTATTGCTGGGAATCGAACCTGATTTTTTTTTTTTAAGGGGAGACGCACGTTTTATTAAAACGACGTCGTTTTTGCATCCGTATGCACCATGCATGGTGCATACGGATGCACAACATAATTTGCCGATTTTAATAGATTTTAATAAATGACTTTCATATCATCTTTTCATAACTTTGTAAGAGTTTATAAAATTTTATAGCACAAATATTTAGAAATTTTTATTCACTTCTACATACTTTTTTATTTATAGAAGTCATTAAAACTGTACTCTAAGTTGAATACATCTTTATAATCTTTCACTAATTTAAAAAAGTTTATAAATTTTTAAATACTAATAAACTTTAAAAAAGAAAAACAAAAACAAAAAAACAAAAAACAAACAAACAAACAAACAAAACAAAAAAAAACAAAAAAAAAAAAACAAAAAACAAAAAAAAAACAAAAAAAAAAACAAAAAAAAATCTTAATCGAACACTATTCAATTTTTAAAGACTCGTTATAGTCTAAATTGAATATTGCCCAACTTTAAAAGACTCTTTAAAAGTTCCAAATCGAATATCACACAACTTAAAAAACATTAAAAAGATATAAATATTGTCAAATGAAACTGGAGTGTAATTAAAAAGATACATACTTTATAGTTCACACTACTACATAGACCATGGTCCACAGTAAAATTTGCCCAACAGCAACACTAACATTAACATTATTTGAACCGGGAGGGTGAGGTTGAGTGGAATTGAAGGACTCATCCATCCTTCTCCTAGTCAGCATTTGAACCGGGAGGGTGAGGTTGAGTGGAAGGTATTATAAATTTTTAAATACCAATAAACTTTAAAAAAGAAAAACAAAAACAAAAAAAAAACAAAAAACAAACAAACAAACAAACAAAACAAAAAAAAACAAAAAAAAACAAAAAACAAAAAAAAAAACAAAAAAAAAAACAAAAAAAATCTTAATCGAACACTATTCAATTTTTAAAGACTCGTTATAGTCTAAATTGAATATTGCCCAACTTTAAAAGACTCTTTAAAAGTTCCAAATCGAATATCACACAACTTAAAAAACATTAAAAAGATATAAATATTGTCAAATGAAACTGGAGTGTAATTAAAAAGATACATACTTTATAGTTTACACTACTACATAGACCATGGTCCACAGTAAAATTTGCCCAACAGCAACACTAACATTAACATTATTTGAACCGGGAGGGTGAGGTTGAGTGGAATTGAAGGACTCATCCATCCTTCTCCTAGTCAGCATTTGAACCGGGAGGGTGAGGTTGAGTGGAAGGAATCATTCATCCTTCTCCTAGTCAGCTGTCCCCGTCAGCATTTGAATCGAGAAGGAGGGTGAGGTTGAGTGTAAGGACTCATCCATCCATCTCCTAGTCAGCATTTGAACCGGGAGGGTGAGGTTGAGTGGAAGGACTAAAGGACTCATCCATCCATCTCCTAGTCAGCATTTGAACCGGGAGGGTGAGGTTGCCCCGTCAGCATTTGAACTTGGAGGGTGAAAGGACTCATCCATCCTCAGGAGGGTGAGGTGTGGAAGGACTCATCCATCCTTCTCCTAGTCAGCATTTGAACCGGGAGGGTGAGGTTGAGTGGGGACTCATCCATCCTTCTCTTAGTCAGCTGTCCCCTCTCCTTCTCCCAGTCAGCATTTGAACGGGGAGGCCATGGGAGCTGGCCCAGAGGAATCGTCCCTTGTGAGAATCAAACTCAGGTTATCCCGGAATTCTCCCTCACAAAGAGAACTCATTTAATTTGCCACTTGAGCTGCCACCCCGAGTTATCTAACCATACACTATAAAATGAAATTTATTAATTCAAAAAAAAATTAAGAAAATAAAATGAAATGAAATTCTTATTTTGTTTCTTATCTATTTATTTTATATATAAAATAATTTTTATTTTCTTAAAATTCATTTGGTAAAACGAAAAGTAAACAAAGGCTCAAAGCAAACAAAAAGTTGAAAGCCTGTTTGTTTGTTTGACGGGGTCCTGAACCCGCCTATAATAATTATACCATGAATCAGGCTTTATCTGTATTTTGTATCGTGGTTCAAAAATAATCTTTAAATTTTATACTCGCAGTTGACACATTTTGTACTTACAGTTAATTATTTTTATATCTAAAAACAAATCTTATGTGTCTACAGTTAACATATTATATATATATATATATATATATATATATATATATATATATATATATATATTTATATATGCAATTAACAATTTATGTGTTTATAATTATCATGTAATGTACCTTTAATTTATTTTTACATGTATAAAAATTGTTAACGGTAGATACAAAATGTGTTAATTACATACATATATTTTTTTAACAAAGATAAATAATATAATATGAATTCTGATCTATGGTATAACAATTGTAAATATTTCGACTCATGCATGTTTCATTTGAAAACAACAACGTTATTAGAGGCGTGAAAAAATGGTCATTGCACGTACATTGATTTTAACGTACTATACGGAGTATACTTATTAGCCCTTTTGGGAGGGCATTTGGTACAATTGGACTAATTCATCGCCTCAATAAAACCGTTTGGTTGAACATCCCAAATGTGATCATAACTCAAATTTTCATTGGATCCAAAATAAATTGTGATTCTTTTTCAACTAAGCCATGTACAACACGTTTGGTCAGCGAATGAATTTTGAGGGAATAAAAATATTATTTCATAAAAAATGGAATAAGGAAGAAATAAAACAAAAATTGTATTTTATTGTTTGATTCGTTAAAAAATAAAATAGATTTTAAGAGTTATATTATAGTGTTTTTTTTTTTTTTGAAAAATATATGTGGTGCTTCATTAGAAATATGCCGAAATAATGTCAGGTGGGAGAAGATCCCAGTACATAGGAGCAGTTTGCTGATAAGTCGAAGTAGCTAAAGCATGAGCTAAATAATTATCTAGTCTAGTAATAAAATTAAATGAACAAGACTGAAAAAAAGTCACAGCTGCTCTGCAGCTGTCAATGGCATAGCCGACGTAAGAGCGAAACGCAGTAGGTGGCGTAGTAAGATAGCGCTGTAGCGTCAAACAATCTGTATATACCTCGATATTCTGTTCCCCTCGATCATTTAACCATGACAAGGCTTCCTTGCATGCCAACGCCTCGGCGATAAGAGGTGAAAAACAGTCCGGGAGAGGCGCACTGAAGGCCGAGACATACCCTCCATTCATGTCGAGGAGAATTGCCCCAACTGTGGCCTTGCCTGTGTCGTGCATAAAACCGGCGTCGGTCCGACAAAGTCTCCGGGGTGGTACGGCCTGTACCGTAGCATGGGACCCAAGCATCAAAAAATGAACCTTTGGCATAATACCGGGCTTTATATACACGAGCCACCAGGGACTCAGGTTTAGTAAGCATTCGCCATGCCTGCTTCTCTAACATAGCTAGGTTAAAAGCACGCAAATCCTTAAAACCCAATCCTCCATATTTCTTAGGGACACACAGTTTATCCCATGCCTTCCAATGTATCCGCCTATCAGTTCCAGAGCCCCACCAGTAACGATTCATTGTCCTTTCAATCGCTGTACACACAGACATTGGCAGCAGAAAGACACTCATTGAGAAGGTAGGCATGGATTGTGCTACACTTTTCAATAAAATTTCTTTTCTTGCCTGCGATAATAACCTCTTGTTCCATGACCCAATTCTTTGCCGGATTTTATCCTTAATATATGAGAAAGCTGCCTTTTTGTTCCTTCCAACAAACGAGGGAAGTCCCAAATACTTGCCAAAATTAGGAGCCTGCCCTACTCCCAAAACTTGCGCCATAACTTCCTTACTTGCGTTACTCGTGTTTCTGCTATAACATATGCTTGACTTGTGGTAATTAACCACTTGCCCAGATAAATCCTCATAGACTGATAGGCTCTCTTTATCTCATTAGCCTCCTCCACATTAGCTTTAAAAAATAGAAGACTATCATCAGCGAAAAACAAATAAGAGATTGGGGGAGCACCTCTTGCTACTCTGCAACCATGGATCAACCCCTTATTGTGCGCCTGCTGCAATAATAAAGAAAGACCCTCTGCAACAAATAATAAAAAAGGTATGGGGATAATGGGTCCCCCTGTCTTAAACCACGCGTGGGTATAATGGGGTCACTCCGAGAGCCATTCACCAATAAATTATACGAGACTGTAGTTACACATTTCATGATCAGCTCCACCCATCTAACATCAAAACCCAAAGCCAACATCATGCTTTTCAGGAAGGACCACTCCATCCGGTCATAGGCCGTTGCCATATCTAGCTTCAGAGCACTCCACCCCGCCGTACCACACTGTTTTCTGTTCAAAAAATGACCCACTTCCGCTGCTACTAAAATATTATCAGTTATTAGTCTATCTGGGATAAAGGCACTCTGCGACTCCGATATTATTCCTTCCATTAGCGGCTTCATTCTATTCGTTATCATCTTTTCCATAATCCTATAGACCACATTACTGAGAGCTATAGGGCGCAAGTTAGTTACTAGTTCAGGAGTCTTTTTCTTTGGGATCAAAACAACATCCGTGCTATTCAAACCAGGTGGTAAATTGCGAGAGTCAAGACAGCCTATGACAAAACTCGCGACATCCCCCCTACCACATCCCAAAAATGCTGATAGAAGCCCGAATTCATTCCATCCGGGCCCGGTGCCTTGTCAGGAAACATTGCAAACAGTGCCGTTTTAACCTCATCTAATTCAAAAGGCCGTAATAACAATTCATTCTGTGCCTGAGTGACCTGCGGGACAATCCCTTCGAAGAAACTCTCCCCAGATCCCGGATTTTCAGAGCAGAAAATATGATTGAAATATTCCAAAATAACATTTTTCATAGGCTCCCCTTCCACCCAATCCCCATTATCATTCATTAGTCTAGCAATAGTATTCTTCTTTTTACGATGAGAGGCATACCTGTGAAAGAACTTCGTGTTGGCATCGGCCTCCTTGAGCCAGTGTTGCGTGGGCCTCTGCCTCCCGTAGGCATCCTCATGGGCTTCAATACGGCTTAGAAGCTGTTCTAGGCGCTGAAACTCTGCAAGCGAGGCCGGGTCAGTGCACCCCCTTAGTCGTTGCTGTTTCTTTCTTAGATCTATAATCTGTTTACCATACTTGTGATGCCGATCTCCACCCCATCGTGTTAACCGGCTACCACAGTATTCAATACAGTGTTGTAAACCTTGCCCCCTTCCTTCGTGCCATGACTGCTCAACCACTCCTCTACACCCCTCCTCATATAACCATGCCGTCTCAAAACAAAAACCCCTCTTTCCAGCCCCACTCCTCCCTAAGAATTCATGGATTCCAGAAAGATAGCCGAATGATCAGATTTTCGGGTTCTCAAATTCGCCACTATGGCCCTTGTTACCATATTGCGCCACTCATCTGTTACCAGGACCTTATCAAGCCTTTCCTCAATCCAATTAACTGTTCCCTTCCCCTTCTCCCAGGTATACGGATACCCATCCAGAGGCAGCTGGGCCAGCCCACAGTCCTCAATAGCATCCCCAAAACCGCGAAGGAGGCTATTCGGATGTGGATTTCCCCCTCTCTTCTCATACTGAAATAGTAAATCATTGAAATCCCCCACAACGATCCATGGAAGATCTGATCTGGCTGATAATGTCCTCAAGAGGTCCCATGATTCAGTGCGCCTGTTACGTTCCGGGAACCCATAATAACACGTCATACGCCAAACCGGGAAACCGATTATAGTTACCTCAACATCAACATAGTTTTTTGAGTAACTGAGGAGCCTTGCCGTATTATTCTTCCTCAAAAACAATGCTAAACCACCACTCAAACCACTGCTATCAACATAAAACAAACCTTCAAAGCCAATTTTGACACGAAGACGCTCAGCGTGATCGCGTCCCACCTTAGTCTCCATCAGAAATACAAAGTCGGGTTGCTTACGAGACACCATGTCCACCACTTCCTGAACTGTCCGTAGATTACCCAAGCCACGGTAGTTCCAGCTGAACGTACTCATTGGGTCGGGCGGGTCTGGGATCCAGAACCCGCCATATGCAAGTTTTTTGAACTATCAAACATTGTCACATCACCATCCTCCCCTTCTCGCCTATCTCCTCTCTTCCCCTCCCCCTCACGGCGCCGCTTAGCAACCGCAGCCACCACCTCCCCGGCCTCCCGTGTCGCTACCGCCCTCGGATCAGCGAGGTTTGCCGACTGCCTCGCCGGTTGATTAGCAGCCGGCTCCCCCTTCGGTCGTCCACTGAGCGGAACTAGCCAGGGGTCGCATATTGCACGCGGCCCCCGAGTCCCTCCCACACGCAAATCCGCAGAGTGCGGGAATTGGTCAATCGGTATTCCCGCATTCCTAGCCTTCAGACAAAACTTGTAAGAGTGACTCATCATTCTGCAAAAAAAAAAAAGCAAAACGAGTGCAATCGTTCATACTTAAAATTAACCCAGCAGGTAGTCTTGTCTCGCTTTAGCAGTTTCATTCTTTGCTTAATCGGCTTGTCTATCGGCATTGAGACACGAATACGGTAGAAGGTCAGCCATTGTGCCCCAATGAACTTGTCATCCAGATCAACAAACGTACCAATAAAATTTCCAATCTGCTCAAGAATTGGTTCGGCCGTATATCCCATCGGTAAATCATGCAATTGAACCCATAGATCGACTGTGTCAAGCACCACATCAACCGGGAGCACCCCATCGGGAACCTCTCTACATACCAACGTGTGATTATCAAACGACCACGGTCCCTCGTCCAACACATACCGCACACCTGTTTCATGATAGAACACAAAAAGAAACAGGTTCGGTTGGACTTCCGACACCTGGACCCCTCGTACAAGCTGCCAAATAGAAGCCATAACTTGTCGCATATACTCCGTTTTGATGAGCTTATTGGTGAGGAACTTTCCCACAACCCCCCCCCCCCCCCCCCACGTCCGTTCGGCCACTGCATGTTGTTCGTCGGTGTCACCCTCGTCCGGGTCGAACACCGTATCTTCTTCATCTTCTAGGGCTAAATCGGCCCACCGTGCGGTTAGCCGTGCCATACCATTGGTTGCTGCAGTCGACGCCATGGAGAGCAGGTCGTGATACGTAAAAACCAGAACAGGAAGATCGCCGGAAAGAGATCAAGAAAAGCCGTACGGAAAACCTAGCAAACCCTAGGGGTGGAGAGAAACTCTAGCAAACCCTAGAGAGAATGTTTAGTAAAGCCTTGATAAAATGTTTCTTATGTATATTATAGTGTTTGGTTGGTTTAAAATTTAAATAGAAATTGAATATGTTTTTAAAAGACATAAATACATTTATACAATATATATATATATATCCGAAAGAGCTTGGACCCAAAAGATATGCAAGTGTCATACGGGTGATAAAGAAGTGTTGCGATAGGGAGAAAAAAAGTTTAAAGAAATTTTAAATTTAATTAGGAGTAAAATAAGAAATAACAAATTTAGGCTATTCTTAAGAACTCAAGAATAGCCTAATATCAACCCCCTCCCCTTCCCTCCCCCTCTCTAGAATCGCTATTCCCCTTGCAAGCGGAATTGCTCATTCCCGAGAACAAAAAAGCATTACCGAACAACGAAATATGCCTATTCCTGTGAATGTCATTCCATTCCAAGCTTATTCTGTGAACCCAACATGTTGTAAGGTCACAATGTAAAATTTACCCTGTGCACATTATTAGGTAATAGTTGTGAATTTTCCTCATCCCTCAAAGTAAATAATAACATTTGCTTATAACCTCCAAAAAACCGTTTGGTTGAATTGAACACCATAAACTTAATGCTATAACCATCTTAGGGGTCACTTTTTTACTCCATCCAAAGTAAATAACAACACTCAATGACTTACAACCCAAAAAAACTGTTTGGTTCAACGAATACTCCAAACATAAAATTATAAGTTGAATTGGTCATAGAGGTGAAGTTTGGAAAGAATGATTAGGGATCGAGTCTCACCAGCGGCAGTGTAGGAGCAACCTCTCAAAGTGATGGGGGCTCCTTGTGTGCAGTAAGCAAAGGTCTAGCCTATGTGGTTCATGTTCAGTTGAATTACTATGATTTACATCTTCCTAGATGCTCTGTCGGACCGGGGTGTGGGGACCTTTAGGGTTGGGGTTCAACCTTTTGGAAAGAATAAAATTATAAGGTCAATTTTTCACTTCAAATGTCACTTTCCATTTTTAGACTACACATACAAAGATGAAATTTCCTCTTATTAGGTTAAAGATTAATTGGCTAATTAAAATTTTTCGGTGAGATTTAAACGGAGTGACCACAATTAATAAAAAATTGAATAGTTAAGGTACTAAATTAACATTCTAAAAATTGTGAATTACAATTAACAAGACAATAGTTACAAGATCAAAATTAAAATTTACTCTAACATTGTATTTCTAGCTTTGAGAATTAAGTTGTAAGAGTTTGAAAGCATTAAAACAAAACATTGTGTTTTGTCCTTATTTACTCTTTGTTCATATTTTTGTATTCATTTTTCCTTCAAGTATATATATAGATATATTATGTTTTAATATATCTTACAACCGATCTCAATCCTTATTAGTTTAGGTCCGAAATCAGTCCAAACCCAATACAAGACCGCTCTAGGTCTAGACTATTGGGCAAATTATGCTATGCGTCTACATCATGCATAATGCACATGGATGTAAAAACAGCGTCGTATTACTTAAATAAAAAATTCATTTTTGATTGCCGTTAATTACGTATATATATGTTCATAATTTTATAATTTCACATTCTGGATTTATAGTTATGAAATTATGGATGTATAGTTATGCAATTCTGGATTTATAGTTATGAAGTTATGAATGTGTAATTAATAATTATGCATGCAATTCTGAATGTATAGTTATGAAGTTATGGATGTGTAGTTATGCAATTCTGAATGTATAGTTATGAAGTTATTGATGTGTAGTTATGCATGCAATTCTGAATGTATAGTTATGAAGTTATGGGTGTGTAGTTATGCAATTCTGGATTTATAATTATGAAGTTATGGATGTATAGTTATGCAATTCTGAATGTATAGTTATGAAGTTATGGATGTGTAGTTATGCAATTCTGGATTTATAGTTATGAAGTTATATAGATGTGTAGTTATGAAGTTATGGATGTGTAGTTATGAAGTTATAAATGTGTAGTTATGCAATTCTGGATTTATAGTTATGAAGTTATGGATGTGTAGTTATGCAGTTCTGGATGTATAGTTATGAAGTTATGGATGTGTAGTTACGCAATTCTTAAATATTTTTTTTTTTAAAGTCGGACGTCAAAACGATGTCGTTTTTGTAACTGTGTGCACCATGCATGGTGCACATGGTTGCACAGCATAACGCTCAAGACTTTTGTCACCTCTATTTACATCTAAACTTAGGGGCAAATTATATCGTGGATCAGGGTGCACAGTGTATTGTGTTCTCTAGTTCAAATATTATAATTGTTTATAATTTTATCTTTAATTTTATTATCTAAATATTTATCACGGATAATTGGACAATTATCTGCTTGAATTCAAACAATGATAACATCAAAAAATAGAATTGATCCAACTACTTTAATCAATTGCACAATATAATATTTGTTGTTATAATTTATATAATTGTATATCGATTCCAATATTGTTAAAATATTATAACAAATCAATTTCGTACAACGCACGTGTGAAAATACAATAATTTTAAGAATATTTGAATCGATGTACAATTATATAAATTATAATAAAAAATATTTTATTGTGAAATCTATTTAATATAAAAAATACAACAATATTAAAATTCTTATTCCTATTTTTTTTTTGTCACTACTCAATATTGAATCAATGATATTTAGTTTACTCCAATCTATTTATTCGATTTTATTATTTGCTTTTCATTATTTATAAATAAACTAATTTGTTTTTTTTTTTTTTTGTTTTTTTTTCCTTTTAAGAGTTGATGTTATCGGATTCATATAAATAAACAGTTTGTTATGGTGGAGTTGGAGAAGTTGCTATCTTTGTGGGGGAAGAGCCTGAAAGACTTTCCAGAAATGCCAATTCCAGTGAAACTAGCATGTGTTTGTGTTAAAACATGTTGATAGCCGAAGAGTTGGCGTATGACAAGGAATCGTTGAAGACAGAGCATGAAACATTGGTAACACAATGGACCGACGAGCAAAAGAATGCTTACAACTTTGTGATGAATGAACGGAGCAAGAATAGTTAACGGGACACATAAAGGAACCAAAGTTCTTATTACTCGAATGTCTCTCACTCCTCCTGATACGAGATTGCCCATCAAGTTCCAGCGTAAACAATTGCCGTTGATGTTTGCATATGCCATGACTATCAACAAAAGCTAAGGTCAAAGTGTCAAAAACAAACTCACGTTGGGTTATTGCTAAAAAAATCAGTCTTTAATCATGGACAATTGTACGTGGCTTTCTCCTGAGTCACCCATCCTGACGGCCTGAAAGTGTTAGCTGTAGATGAAGATGGATAAGATTGTGTTGCGACTATCACTATCGTTTACAAAGAGGTTTTCAATAATGTGTAAATACAATCGATGATTTTTTTTTTTCCAAAATGACAAAATTGTTATATATCTAGACAAAAATATATCCTCTATACAAATGAATTAGGATAACATTTTACTATAACTAAATTGCTAGAGAACAAGCACATTTGCCCCATTTATAAAAATCTTAAACAATGATGTATAAAATCTCTAAAGTTACAGCACCGCAAGCCTACATCTACAAATTAGCTATTAACTTGAGCAATTATTTGCTCGAATTCAAGCAATGATAACATCAACAAACATAAACGATCAAAATCGTATATTTAATTGCACTACATAATATTTGATGTACGCTTTTTTGAAAATAATAATATTTGATGTGATAATTTAAATAATTGTATATCGATTTAAATGTTCTTAATATATTAGAACAAATCCATTCCGTGCATCGCACGGATAAAAATACTAGTGTTAAAAAAATAAAATAAAATAATTGTAATGGGATTGAACGGACGAAACGGTATTCGTCACGTCAAATTTCCACTAACTTAACTAAAACGACGTCATATTGGACCAGTATCCACAGTGCAATGTGTACCCTAATCCACGATATAACGTCCAAACTTAGGAGAGGAATATGATTTACTTTGTTTCGAGTTCCCATTTTTGGCCAACAAGAAAGCGAAGAATTAACTACCTTAAAACTGCCGTCGTGGCATCATCCTTCGCGCCTACTTCGCGTTGGACAAATTCCAGGATTCTTTTCATCGACCAAGACTGCTTCATTTCGATTTCTCAGACTCCATCATCATCATCCTCCTCCTCTTGATCTTCGTAGCAGTAACCAGATTATTATAAGAATATCCGCCATTGAACCCAATTTCCCCTTCCCTCTGCAGAACCATAATCTCCCAATTTCTCGAATAAAAACCATGCCTCCTTCTCTTCCCCTTTTCTTCCTCGTCTTCTTCATCTATCTCTCGCCACTCGCTCTCGCTGAGATCCGGTTCTTGCAGGTTCGCTCCGACAACAAACCCGTAATCCTATTCGACGAATTCGGGTTCACCCACCGTGGCCGTCTCCAACTGAACGTTTCCAAGATTAGCTTCAACGGCCCCCACAACTTGGACCTCACCAGACTCGGGTTCTTCCTCTGCACCCCGGAATCCTGGATGCAGATTCTTCAGCAGCTTGATGACGGCGAGATCACTTGCGTTCTCAAGTCCGATTACGCCAAGGTCGTCTTTTCATTCGATTATCTCCACGCCAATTCCTCCTTTGACAAGCTCTATTTCGTGTCCGACGCCGGCCAGTACAGTCTCATCTTTGCGAATTGTCTGCCCCAGCTCGCGATCTCCATGGACGTCCGATCCGCGATGTACAATCTCGAAGGAAAATCGGGGGATAAACGTGACTATCTCCCCGCCGGCAAGACCATTTTACCCAGGGTTTATTTTATCTTCTCCCTCGTTTATTTTGGCTTGGCTGGTGTATGGATTTATGTGTTGTGGAAGAAGCGTTTAACGGCTTTCCGCATTCATTTCTTCATGCTTTTGGTGGTAATCTTGAAAGCCTTGAACTTGCTCTGTGAAGCTGAGGATAAATCGTATATTAAACGAACTGGATATGCCCATGGCTGGGATGTGTTATTTTACATATTCAGCTTCTTGAAGGGAATCATGCTGTTCACTTTGATCGTGTTGATTGGGACGGGTTGGTCGTTTTTGAAGCCATATTTGCATGATAGGGAGAAGAAAGTGTTGATGATTCTAATCCCACTTCAAGTGTTAGCAAACATTGCACAGGTTGTGATTGATGAAACCACACCCTATGGAATTGATTGGATGACTTGGAAGGAAGTGTTCTTTCTTGTCGATGTAATCTGTTGTTGTGCCGTTTTGTTCCCCATTGTTTGGTCCATTAAGAATCTTCGTGAGGCTGCCCGGACTGATGGGAAGGCTGCGGTGAATTTGATGAAATTGACTCTCTTTAGGCACTACTACATTGTGGTTATATGTTACATCTACTTTACGCGGGTTGTGGTTTATGCATTAGAAACAATCACCTCGTATAGGTATCTGTGGACTAGTGTGGTGGCAGGGGAATTAGCGACACTAGCGTTTTATGTGTTCACTGGGTACAAGTTCAAACCCGAGGCTCACAATCCATACTTTGTGATTGACGATGAGGAGGAAGAGGCTGCCGTTGAGGCGTTGAAGCTTGA